AACAGGTCAGTAGTTCAAAAATATATATACTATCACTTGAAACTTCAAACGTGACAAAATCTAATCAAATATTTTTTTTTATTCCTTCATGCTAATAATTTAACCTAAAAAAAAATTAAAAAAGAAACATGGGTAAGATTGAATGTCTGCTCTCTGCTTTTCATGTTAAAGCTGGTGTTAGAACTGCTGCTCAGCTAGTTGATACAGGACTTCGAAAAAGTGATAGATTGCAGGTTTCTGTGTATTTCCTGATTTTTACCTTGTGAAGATCTTTTGACTACATAATTAACCTAAAGGGGAACATTTAGTTTTTAGCAGATCAATATTAATCCTTTGGGTGTCTGAAGAACAAAATGATCTGCAGGAAGTATTCAGCAATAATCTTCCCTATTTAAAGACAAAACAATGATCCTTAACAAGCGAAAAGTTATTTAATGTTTTGAGGATAAACAAGAGGGAGCACTGTGATGAATTCCTTGTTGTTTTGTGTCGGGATCACTTACCACTACGACCTCCTTGTTGTCCCTGAAGATGGTGTGGCTGTTGACCATGCTGACAATGGCTACACCCAGGTTGCACCTGATACCAAAGGAGATGCAGAAGCCAATACCAGAGAGGATGGCGATGATGTAGCGCCTGGGCAGGCCGAAGCATGTGCAGTCCACCACCGGCATCTCCTTCTCCTGCACCAGCTCAGGCCGGCCCTCAGCCGACAGCTCAATGGTTTCACCATTTTCCTGCTTCTTCTCTAGTGCCCTGCAAGAAGGAGTTCAGAAAGATCTTTCCCATATATGATCATATGATGTTACTTTATACATACCTGCAACACATACCTCTTCAACACATTTAATTTATTACATAAAATACCTCTGCTTTAGCAATAGCTTAGCTGTCATAACAGATTCTGTGCTGAATATCTGTTAGAAAGTCTGAAGTTTTCCAAACTTTCTGATGAAGTGCTTGTCTGCTGATTTTTCTGGGGGAGAAATCATCTGGATCTCGATGCCTGACGGTTTCTTTGGCTGTCAGTTTGAGAGGCAGTTTCAAGCCCTAACAAGGGAAGCTCAGTGCAGGCATCTGTTAGCCTTCCTCACAGAAGACTGTAGAAAAGGCTTTTCCTCAAGCTTGTAATAAGTATTAGTGTTTTTTGTTTGCACACATTTATCCCCCGAAAGAACTGACTGACAGCAAGGGAAAAGGTGCGGTTAACCCAACAGAGCTTACATCGTATGCTCCTCTTCTTCTTCGTGTTCCCTGTGAAGCTCTGACCTTTGTCTCCTGTCTAACAAGCATCAAATATGTATCCAAAGAGGCGTAAATTAAAGATGACATGAGAAACTCTGAGCTCTCAGAGCTGACTCAGACCCTCTATCTCTATTTGATGAAGAAGAGAAACTTTCCTTCTCAATGCCTTATGGAACCAAATATGTTAGGATCAATGGGTGTGAGTACATTGGCATGAAAAAATATTTGCCCCTTAGAGTTTTTCTTCTCTATCCTTTTGCCTTTTGCTGAACTCAAATGTTTCAGATCATCCGAATGATTAAATCAAGCTGACATAAGCGGAGTTACTACAGAAGCAGTTTGAAATTATGATTTTATTTATCACAGACAAAAGAAATTTTTAATTTTAACTTAACATCAAGGCTTTGACTAGGACACTCAAGGGCACTAATTTTTATTTTATTTTTTCTGAACCATTTAGAGCCAGATTGGCTGTTGAACCTTGGGTCTTTGTTCTGCTGTAGAACCAAAGAGAGCTTAAAGGCACATTATGATGTTTGGAGGATCTTCAACTAAAGCACAGCAACTAGGTCCTGAAGTGAAAAATCAAACCCAGTTATTAGTTATTTGCCTTTAAGTTGACAAATTGAGATTTTAGAACTTTCTATTTATTTTAAAAATAAATAGAAACATAGGTATATCCAGACTTCCCAAGTTCCAAAATCTCATTTCAGGAAGATGCTTATACACCCCAACCCCCACAAAAAAAAAAATCCCCCAAAGCCCCCCGCCCATCCCAAATTCTAATGATGATATGCACTGGAACAGACATGGTTACTGATAGGTCCTTTGGATCTATTTAATTATTTTTCTTTACAAATTCTGTTTTGCTAATTATTCAAAAACAATAAGGTGATAACTTTAGTGGTATTGAGATAGGATCCCAGTTTTCATCTGCTAAATGTTTTTTTTTTTCACAAAAAATAAAAAACAATACTATTTTTTACAGATGAAGTTAACAGTTTTTCTTGAGTTTTAATTCAAATTATATAGAAAACGGTAGTTTTAACTTAAATTAAGTCAAAAATATGTAAAATTCCCAAATTATAAAAGTATATTGAACTCATAAGAAATATAATTTTTATTGAACCTAATTGATTTGTGCAGCTCTCTTGACATATATTTGAATCCCTTGCCCTGTTTTTTATTTCATGCTTTTCTGTTCCCCCATTAAAAAACGCTGGACCCCTCCTGGCCCCCTGGTACAGTTGGTCTAGATCCGGCACTGTTCCTCACCTTCACTAGACGTGGAAATAATTTAGTATATTCTGCTGTAAAATTAGTCTTATATTTTCGTTTTTTAATGGAGGATTCGACCTCTGCCGTTTGACAGGATGCACAGCTTTGAGTGTTAACTAGGTGACTACCAGAGAGTAACCCCAAACTTTTCTGACTAATCCAATCAGCCGCCTGGAACGCTGGTTGAACAGAGCATTGCTTTGGACAGATACGCTGCACAGGATTCACCAGCAACCCACACCCCACACTACTGCGCAATCGCAGGAGTTCTAATTCGCACATGGTGCACGAATTATTGCACTGCCTGCTTGCTCTCACTCGCATAAAAAAAACATCACCTTGCAAAGTCTAAAATCCGGGATAATTTATCCGACTCACAGGGATCTGTTAACAACTATCTATATCAGGGAGGCTCACAGAACTTCTGGGAGACTTGGGATGTCTGCATATAACAAATTTGTGAAAGCATTTCTAACAATCAATGATTAACATACACTAGGAGGGATCAGTTGTAATGGAAATAAGAGCTTGCAAAAATGTCCTAGGCCCCCACTGAATGTGTAAAAACTGGCACTGGGGAAATGCACATGGTATCTTGGCTGTGTACATAAATCAAAGGGTTTGTTGCATAATATTTGCAAAACTGGGCGTCAAGGGGTTAAAATAACAATACATCAGTTGAAGACTAAACACACCTCTGTGAAGCCGTCTACATGAAGGAACAACAGACTTTACTTCCTAAGGAAGCTTAGGACCGTTAGCATTTGCAGCAAGATGCTACATATCTTTTATAAGTCTGTTGTGCAGAGGGTGATCTCTTCCTCCATCATCTGCTGGGAGAATAGCATCAGAGTAAATGGCTTTAAAAAACTTAACAAGCTGATAAAGAAGGCCGCTTTGTTCTGGGAACTGCTCTTGAACCTCTGGAGATTATTTTACAAAGAAGAATTCTTCATAAAATTAAGAAGATTATGGACAGTGAGCATCCTCTTCAGAAGATTTTTAAACAAGGACCGTGTCTTCAGTCAGAGGCCTCTCCAGATCTGGAGCAAGACAGACTGCTACAGAAGATCGTTATTGCCATAGCTATCAACACCTACAACAACTCGATAAATCAATTTCCCTGAACAGAGCATAGGAACTAAATGCTGCTTCTTGGTGTTCTTTCTTTGATCATACCTACACAATGCTTTGTTGCTTTAAACCTGACCATGTTACAGCCTTCCCTTACTGTACCTCCTGGATGATAAGAAATAACATTCTTTGTACTTTTCATAAGTACACCAAGAGTAATTCTATGAGTTGCCATCTCAAGTTAGGATTATTATCTGAAGACCTTACTCCATGATTTATTTTGATTAATTGTCTTTGAGTATTTAGCAATTTATACTTATTTTTCCTGGGTTTTTGGGGGGGGGGGTTGTGTGTGTCAACACCTTTCTGCTTCCTATATTTGTGTTTCCAATATATTTTGTCAAGCAGTCAATTTTTCTCCAATTTCTTCAGTTGAGCTTCAGTTCCTTGCCTTCCCTGTCTCTCATCAACCACCTACTCCTAGGTCAGTAATCATCCTCGCCAGCTTTAATCTCCCTCAGTTATTGCTGCCACCAACCTGCGTCTTCATGTTCTTCCTTTGATTTATAGTTTGGGATTTTCCTTGGAGTCTAGTTTTTGATTTTCCACACCTTTGGTAAAAACTGTTTGTTTTCCATCCTCCCACCTCCTGTTTCCTCTCTGCATGCGGTTCCTCCACTTCAAAATTCATGACAACCCGTAAAAATCAGCACCAGATATCTTGTCATCAGTTATATATATATCTGGTGTGCCTTTGTGGGCAGAAATATATATATAAAAAAATGAATGATTTATTTCTGCATTAAATAGGTTGTTCAATGTTATGTATTGCTGATATAAGTTGCAGAGGATCACCTGTTTATTATAAGAGAAGCTGATAATGATATCATAAGACCTGCCTTAGGTTAGGACTTAAAGTCCTATAAGAAACTGAGATAAACTAAAGAACACTTCATTTATTTTGGTATTGACAATTAAATATGCAAAATATGCTTAATAATCATGATCTAACAAAAGCTTTTTTTAAAGGGTTTGATGTTTTATTTAGAATATGTTCTTCCTTTTGGAACCATAAAAATGATGCTATTGTAAACATCTGATGCTACAAAAATACTGCAGCAGACCTTTTAAATAAAGCCTAACCCATATAACAGGGAGAGGTAACAGTCATGCAGTAATAAAACATAGCTTCTTTAAATATCCTCAAAGGTTGCAAGAATCTCCAGCAGTGATGAAGTATTGATGATTCTCAAAGTTAAATTATTAATAGCCTATCTCTGGCTCGGCCAGTCTATTTTTGTCTGGGCGGATCCCTCTTCCTCCTTCCTGTCTCCTCCTCATCTTCTCTTGGCATTTACCTCCAGTTTCTCTGACTCTAAATAATTCCCAGCATTAACTAATCTTTAACAGTCAGCTGTTGATCAATATCCATACCTGAAAAGTCCTGTAATTTCTTTAACATTTGCTGTCACTTACTAGAGGTTTTTTTGTTTTTTTTTTAAACACTATTAATTTGCAATATACTTAATATATTTGATAGATCTATGTAGGTAGATACTTTTAGGTTGTATTTGTTTTTACATCTTTATCATAATATCTACGATGCAGCAACCATTGGGAAGCACTTTGGCTTTTGTTTTTCAAAATATAACAGAATTGAATGAATTCCAACATCAGCGTTATGGGATAAAAAAAAAAATAGCTTTATAAATGAAAAGAAAACAAAAAGGTTAACCTTCCTATTTGCACTAAGACCCCCTGAGGCAGAACTTTTTAAGACCACCTTATGCTGCAGATCTTTGGGGTTTGTCTTTAGCAGATTTGATCATCAATGGATTCATCTTCTTGTTTCTAAAACCAGCGAAAGCACGACTAGATTGGAGGTTAGAGTTTCTGTTCACCACAGTTTTTTTTTGTCTTCCAAAAGAATCTCAGCTAGATTTATGTCTGGACTTTGACTAGGCCCATCTTACATGTGGATGTGCTTTGAGCTAGGCTACCATTATATCCCTGGCTTTATGTTAATGGGGGCTTAAGGGTTTACTCTAACTAAATCTGAACTAATTCCACATCATGATGCTGCCACCACCATGTATCACAACAAGAATGGTATTACCAGAGTGATTGGTTGTGTATCCTCTACTTGGTAGGTCCTAAAGCACAGTTTTGGTCTCTGCTGAACCAGATCATGCTCTCCAACATCTTTACTTTTCTTATGACTTAACTTTAAAAAATGACTTTCCTCTCCCCACTCACCTCTCATAAAGGCCAGATTTGATGGGACATGACTATAAGTCGTCCTGAATCAGGCAACACAGAGAAAATATCGGTCAAAGCTCTGTGAGATTACCAAACCTTAGTATATATTTTTTTAGATCTATCTCATCACTTGTCTAGACTTTTTTAGATTCTCTCTGAACGTTCTGTGGGTTCCTTGGTCGTAATGTGACCAGTTATTCTAAAATCCCCTCTAAAATATAGCTGCAGTTAGACTTAAATTAAATGAAACAAAGATAAAAACGTTTTGTCGTTAAGGTGGCTTCTGAGGGCAGATTGGTTGAACTGGATTTTGTGTTAACTTATCAAAATAAAGGTGGCTGAATAAAATGCACAAATGTTTTTTTTTTATTATTATTTCTTTCATTTTAGTACCAAACATTAAGAAAAAAATAATTGCAATAATTTCAAATATTTTTTTTATCCTAAAGTTAAATTAGAATTTAGTTGTTTTTTTTTATTCATGTTTTTACATAATTCATTAATTAACTGAAAAGCAATTTTATTTATATTCATTAATTATCAAGTATAAAGCCTCAAATAAATAACAGAGCAGTTTGTGGTTGAAATGTAAAAAAAAAACATAAAGAAGTATATATTTTTTTTCAAGGCATCATAGTCGTTGGTATTAAGCATATCTGTAGCAGTGACTTTTCATGGCTAAACCTTCATTCAGGAAAATCTGTTGTAATCCCTGAAAGCCATCTGACCTTCTCCTGGTTGTCACACCTGAAGAGAAGAGTCTCATCTGAGCAGTTCTGCTGTTTAACCCAAACCAGAAACAAGAATCACTTTAGGTGGTGATAAAGCGTGTGGAAGTTAAACCCCTTCTGCTCTGCAGACGTCAACAGTGGGATCTCTTCTACTTTTCTGGGGTTATTCATACATCAAGGTCATATGTCAAAGCCATCTGGCTGAATTATTCAGAGTTGGTATATCTGTTTGGAATCATCGAATGGACAAATGGGGATCAAATAATGTTGGACGATTAATTTAGATGATAAAAAGAAACCAGAAGGGGCCATCTTTACCAATCAGGACTATCTTCCTTTCTGAACTTCTTAAGAGGTGAAGAGAACAAGGACTGTCCGGTGCACACAGCAGTCAAAGGAGGCACCCCAGAGCACGTGCCCTGGGCGGAAACCACAGCTTACAGCCTTCTGCCTTTTAGTCCACTGGACTAATCCCGGTAGTTAGATGTCCTGTGGTGGGAGGGGATATTGGTGACGTGTTACCAGGACTACTTATGGGGAGAGGCAGAGATAGGTCCAGGTGTACATCCTGCAGGGATTTACGCAGGCCGACAGCTTGAAAAGGAGAGGCTATTTCTAGAGAGGATTTAAGTGTTTGAGACGCTGCATCAAATCCCGAGAGAGAGAAAGGGGAGTCCATAGCCGGTCTGCTCTCAGGTTCCTGAAAATGCTCCAGACTTTGGTCTGAATCCATATTTCTGCATCATGTTGCACTTTTCAGAGCCAACTGCCAGTACACTTAACAAAAGGTCTCTCTGAGATCTCACTGCTTATCAGTACAATCCAATTTATGCTTTAGTTAAGTAATATCTCATGTGGTACTCAGCAGCACAGTTCATTAAGTTCATTTATTGTTACAAACCTAAACACGCTCTAACTCTAAGCTTGTATAATAACGATCTGCAGGTTTTATCTCTGAAATGATCAAACCAGCAGATGAGCCTCCATGTTTAACAGACAAGCAGGCCTCTGTAGCTTGATGGTATAAAAGGGCAGCAGAAATTGATCCATCAATCGATATGATGTTTCATCTTTCACTGAAAGGACACCTTCTGCCTGTAATGAAACTAGACTCTGTTCCTGGACCCCGGGATGAAGGAGAGGCTGATTTTACCTCCTACTGGTGGAAAATACACATAAAAGCTCATGAATTATAAAAGATACAAGGCTTAAAAACTTATGGTGCCATATGTTCTGAGGGTGCATAAATGAAGATGTGGCAGATTATCCAGAGCTGAGGACATCCTGATCTTCTGTTCTGCTCTTATCTTGTCAGGACAATGAATTGAATTACTTATATTAACATCTAAGCAGAATTTGGAGTTGCTTTGGATGCAAAATATCTTTAATTTAGAGCAGCACAGATTTGATAAAAGAAGAAAAGTCATGATTTAAAACTTAAAGGTTGCATATCTGGTGGGAAAATATATCATGCTCACTGTAGCTGTTTGTTAATATATCATTTTGCTTTTCACCTCACTGCTACCTCCTCTTTTATAAAACTTTCAACGTTAAATAACTAAACATTATATCAAGAGCAGCTGAAACAAGCTTCTATTACAAGTGGGATTATTTTAATCTGTGTTACAGATCCACTATCACCTCTGCTAAATCCAAAACCACTTTTCAGAACCAATACAGAAAAAAAAGATTAAAATTTGCCTAAAATTAACAAAATTACAACCCAAAAATAAAGGAATTGGCACATCAGTAAAGTATAAAACAAGATTTGTAATTATAGTGAGATGAAAATCAGCTGCTGGGAAATATGGGCTAAAAATGAAGGGGACTCCCAGATAATACCCTGCCCAGACCCGCTATCTCCTCAGGCCGGCCCTGCGTACCGGCACCAGATAAAGATTACCTATGTTTTCATTATAGCGTGGATCAGTTCACCTTTCAGAGGCTTCACCTACCCGTATATCTTCCCCAGAGTCTTAGCTGCCACAGCTTTGAACCTGTCCGGCCGGATCTCCATCCTGACGGCTCCGGGTCCGAGCGCACAGCCTCTTCTCCTTCGTGCGGCTCAGTCACATAAATAAAAAAAAATATTATTAATTGGTCATCAGCTTCGTTTATTTAAAAGTTCCCAGGATTGTAGCTTGGAGAACTAGTTGTCCCGGCGTTTACAGGTTTCTTCTGGTTCCTCTAAAAATCAAAAACATTTTTTTAGATCCACTCTTCCTCCGGGAATCTGGACGAACTTCTTTAAATCCCGCTTGGGTTCGTAGAGGTTCGCTGAAAAAAGCGCAGCGGGGCAACTTTAGTGAGGATTCATGGGTAAAAGGGTGTCTCTGGCCGTGGTCCTGAACAGGATTACAGCTGGCCGCGCGCTAATCTCCCAGAGTGTGTAGTGGAGGAGAGCATGTCACTTCCTTCCGAGCAGACTGGCTTGTTTCAAGCTATTCTGGGAGTGAATGGAGGGAGTTGGAGTAAACAGTCCGAGGGAAGCAGAATTCACAGGACAAGAATGGAAGAAGGTCCTTCAGGACGCACTGATGGCGGCGCTTTTTAGGAGACCAGAACAAACTTTAAATGGTCCATAAACGCACACGGTCACACTATTAAGAGGGAGCCCAGAATAACAGTTAAAAATGCATTTTGTTTAAAATATAGAATAAAACAAATATATTCATTTTCAATATACACATTCTTTTTAAATATTAGGAGCTTAATTGTTTTATATTAGGGTTGTCAAAAGTATCGAAACTCAAAAAAGTATCGATACCAAAATGTTGTATCCAGATACAATACTCATTTTTAAAAGTATCGATACAGTGCCACCACCAGTGGCACCTAAGCAGTCATTCATCTAAAGTGCAGAATAGAGGACAATGCACAATCAGAACACTGTGTGATTGAATAATTCTGTGCACTTTCCCGTTTCTAACTTTTTTTCTTTTTTGTAACAGGTGCAGCTGTTGAGAATTATTTTTGTTTTTTAACCAGTTTGGCTAGTGTCAT